GAAATATCGTCACTCACAGTAAAAAGACTACATTAAAAGTATTGACATCTCAGAAGAAAAATTCTGAGCCTTATCCCACTATCTCCAGCGCATCTTAGTGGATATGATGGAATACACTGACCTTTGCCACACTGGTGCTAAATCACCAGCCAGCCAAAGACAACCTATCTTTTATGCACACTTGACAGTCTCCCAAAGGGTCTCCAACACAAAATGGCTAAAAACAAAATTAGGGAGTTTTGTATGAAATTTTAACAACTTAGTAATGGCCTAGGGACCCAAAGTGACAATGTGAATAATGAAACTTCTCCCGATTTCATAAACTGTCATGAATGACTTCTTGCTTAATGTTGCTGTTGAGATGATGTCACACTGTTTTGAACATTGATGGTGAGATATCGAAATTGCTATGAAAGCAGGTAGACCTGATAAAACTAAGCTGCCAGAATAATTCATAGCAATTACATGCACCTGACTATATGAGTCATTTGCCATACGAACCGAAATTACTGGTAACAGCAATGAGGCAACTTGATTCACATCAAATGCAGTCCGAAGCCATTCAAAAAACATCACAATCAGCATGCAATAAGTTAACAAGTCTTTTACTCAGACAAAATTTCTGTTCTGTAGATTTTGAAATTTGCTGATATTTCTTCATCACAAAAGTATACAGCTCAGTCTTTATTTTTTAAACAGCACCATTTTACTCATAAATACTGTAGGAATGAAATGATACAAGACTGACTGAGAAATTTCTTGCTCATCCATAATATTTTCCATGCGGTTTCCAAACCCTTTCTTTACATGTAATATGACTGCACAACTACATTTTGTACATGCACATCTCCCACAAGGTGCACCCACAAAATCAGGTTCAGCAGGAAGATCTATTATGCCTAGCAGGAGATGGTTGAGCACATCCCGGGAGCCTGAGACTGGGGCTGCCCATGGGACACCATTAGTTCTCACTTCTCACTGCTGCTGCGGTGATGGTTGATAGATGTGTGATAGTCCGATAAGAATATGCAATTGTTCATGCCTTGGTTTCACATCACCAACAAGATAGCTTAACATCCCTAGAATTATACAATTTCTGGCAGACAATATCCTTAATGGTAAACCTATCAAACACCCACTTGTCCCTTCCCTCTATTCTTTAAGATGCACTTACATGATGTAGCTTGCAAGAATCAGATCCCTGCTGCCAACTTATAATGGATGGATCCATAATAAATAGGGAGATTTGTATCAACTGAACTTAATCTAGCTTTACCATACATATTGGTTAGATATCATTGACACTCATTGAAAGAATTCATTATTTTGTTTCCTTGGAAAAGTTACAATGATCTAAGAATGATCACCATGTATATAGTGACGGATTTACGATTTGCATTGAGCCTAGATACTACCCAGCAGCTGCATGCTGCCTCCAAAAGCTGCAGAGGGATGAAACAATTAAATTAATATTAATGTGTAAAACGAAAGCCAGACTGCATGCAATATACCCCATGTCATGTAATGGTTCTACTAACTGGCTGCAAATCTTTTCAAATTGGGTGTTAGTCACTCTGAATGGGAGAAAAATCTTTCTGATCGGGCACATGTCAAGAAAAAGAGGTGACAAACCTTTGGAAGGGGGCTATCACACCGTGTGGCATATGGCATCAAATTGTGCTTGGGATCAGTAACACGTCCTTAAAGGTAGGCTGCAAATCTTATCCAAATGGAGACAAACAGTCCAGGGTATATAGTGCTTGATTGAAAAGAATGGAGCAAACTATTCATTACAATGGCTGAAGCCATTGAACTATTTCAAGGCCCCATATTGGGGTAACAAGAAAAAAGTTCTGAATCTTACTGAATATAAGATACTTGAATACTTCCAGGTTCTAGGATTGTGAATATTTAATCAGCTACTTACTCAAGCAGGGTAACTGTGTGAACTGTTTACAGATATTATTAGACCACAGTGTAATAGAATACTAACGTTACATGTAGTAGAAAGATGGAACAGGAGCATCCAAGAAATATTGACCTTATGAGACATGCAGCAAATCAAACTGCAACACAATGCATGGAGTCTATAAAAGTATGAATGTCGCCCTTAAAACATTAATCGTTAAGCCATTACATTGGAAAAGAAGGGTGCATCTTAGGTGTCCTACCAATAAATGAGCAGAATTTGATGGTTTTGTAGGTAGGTGTGTCACTGGGAAGGCAATCAATAAATTCCGGACAGCTAATTCCCAGTTCTTAAGTACCCTGCAGGGTTATAGAAGCTAACCAAGGATGAACAGTCAGATTCGAATCTCTCCCTAACAGCCAATTTTCGGTCCCAATTTTCTAACTGAAATACCCGCAGCCACACTCAAACGTTCGTGCCGTGTCCCCTGAGAGCAAATTATTTCCCTGACAGTCAATAAGGGAAAAGAAGTTGGATCCCTGTGTACAGGGGTGACACACACCCAGGCCTCTGTGGTGCTGTAAACTTTGATGTTTGTGAGCCAGCTCTTACTACAACTGTCACAAAATTTCCTACGATCGATATTCACAAACTAGACAGAGTTTTCGCCAACACTTAAAAACTCCCACCCCTCCCAGGGGAGCCCATTAAATAGTACAGTACCTAGAGGGACATGACAAAAATGATCAATGCACGGGGCGCCAGAGCACTACATTACTGGCACCCGTACATATCCCTGGAATAAACAAGACCTTGGTGAAAGCCAACTTAAGCCTGCCCCTGGGAAGGTACATAGCTGGCTTTTGTGCAGTAATAAAGAAGCATGTGGCAATTTACTGACTTGGAATATAATCTTACATTGTTCATACATCTGTGTACAGCAGGAAGCTATGAAACACTGATACACGAAAATATCATGTGCTCACAAGATTGATGAGATTGTAATGTAAAGTATGCATGTAATGCAAAACTGAACTTCTGCTGCATATTTACATATGATTTAGTAGTGTGGCAATGATCTATTAGAAGGGAGCGATGAGAGCTGCCAGGTATGATGAATTGTTGTGGCCTATATATTTGCATACCTGTACTCTTAAGTATACCAACTCATCTAAACAATAGGTTAAATATGCAGTAAATGGCTTATCACTGTCAAGGTAATGGAGTAGTTTAGAGATCATTTAACTATAAAGAATTCAAACTGACATCATTTTAAAGCAAACACTATGCTGTTATACAATGTATAAGCACAGGAGGAAAGCCTATATAACTAGTATAAGTCTGTTAATGATGACTGCCACTGTTTCTGTTTTGCATGTTTGTTGGGGCATATCAAGCTTGCACCTTTGTTTCATACTATGTATATATACAGATAAGCAGGAACAGGACATATATGACGTTGTGTGGTATACATGTAATGTATGCCTGTATTGTATACAGAGTACTTGTTTTAAGTACTCAAGCATATTGTTACTGAACAGGACTGTTTTCAGTAAAATTAAAAATCAAAGACATACTGCAGTGTTGAGGGGATCTAATTTCTATACCCCATAGACCTTAATAGTACATTAACTAGTATGGTAACATCTGTCTGATGTTCGGAAAACAGATCCCAGTGGAGGGGGCCAAAACTATCATTTCAATAGGAAACCTCAATGATAATGAGAGGACAGATTGGCACAAAATGTCTGGCTGTGCGTTTCTGCCTCGTTGATCACACTTGGTCAAATGCCTGTGAGAAGGTAAATTTAGAGCATAATGACCCGACATGCAGGGCTCAAGCAGGCATACCCCAGCTCATTTACAACCCAGATGATACTGGGATGCTGAGCCACCTGTTAAAATGTAAATTTTAATTGTCTAACGACTCAAAGGGATGGTACCCGCTCTTAAAAGATTCATTTTACAGCTTTCTGCCTCGTTTATTATTGGAACGTACATGAAAAATATTGATGTAGAGCTGGCATGTGAGATTAATGAAATGCCATCTGCATAACAAGATCGACCAACTTGAAGTTTTATACTGTCTAAGAATCAAACATGTACATGTCTGTGGGTTATAAGCTTCTTGTTCAGGCATTATAGTGGCCTAAAAAGACCTCCTTGTCAGAGATTACTTCTAATTGTGGTGAGAATGAAATGAATCAACCAAACTTTTAGTAAGCATGACTTGAGAATGAGCGATTAATGCCATTTTAGTCTGACCTGAAGCAAAAGGGAAGTTTCAATCAGGATTACGCTTTAGATGGATGGGACCAGACAACTGTTACAGGATGGGGCTTTGATTGAACCCGCCGTGATTCCTATCCAACCAGTTGTAATCCTGGATTCATTAGCCGCAAGAAAACAGGGCAGGGTCCGACACAATTATTTATGAAGCATCAATTTGCAATTTAAACCTAGCCAACCAAGGAGCGTTCATCACGATAGCGACTTGTGGCGAGAGATGGTTTTGGTAATGTAGCGTGTGTGCAGCTGCCGAGGCAAGATAGCAGGCCGCAATCAGCCCCCGGAAATTACTGGCACACTCCACAACCAGAAACAAGTGACTTTCCGTGCATACTAGATGGGAGGACTGGGAGTTTCCCATTGTGCGATAGCTGATGTCGCCCAACCTAAATGTCAACTGCCTTTACCTTTGAAGCTCTTGGCACTGCTGACTAATCGGTACATGCATATCTCTTGGAGGATGAAAGAACATAGTGCTCCTGAGTGAAAGGCACAAGGCAAAGCAGGTTAATGTTCTGGCTGGGACACAACCAACAGTTACATCAGTGCCTAAATGAAGCCTGGGGGAGACTGAACCTTGGGCTTAATAGTTAGCAAATTTGTACTGCTTCACAGCTACCTAAAGATTAGGAATGATTCTTAAGAAACAAAACTGTTACATTACAGTAATAACTTAGCAGACAATGCATGGTACTCAAATGGCATTGTTCCAAATCAAGATGAAAGAAACTTTCATGTTTATGTTTATGGCTGCTATGTCATGGCACTGGATAATGTATAAATAAACATGTGGTTTATGTTTCAGGTAAAAGCTCAACACTGAAGAAACGCGACATTAACGACTGGATGTGGATCAAAATGGCCACCTCACACGGCATTGCTCTGGTCTCTGCAGTCCTGGCTACCCTACTGATGACTGCAGGTGCCTCGTGTCCTGAGAGGTGTCGCTGTATATCCGGAGGGGTGTACTGTAACGAGGGGAACATGCAGCCCCTGCCCAAGAGCTTCCCCATCAGCACGCACACCCTGTATCTGGTCGGCTACAACCTCTCCAGCATACTGAAGGACCAGTTCACCAACCTGCCACTCTTAGACAATCTAAACCTCAAAGGGAACCACATCTCCAACCTCGCGCCACAGGCTTTCGCAGGTTTGCCCATCCTACAGGAGCTGATCTTATCAGACAACGAACTTGTCGTCATCCCTCGGAAATCACTCGTAGGACTACGCAACTTGGAAAGGCTGTTTCTTAGCAACAACTCAATCATCGCCCTTAATGGACAGGCGTTCCGTGACCTCTCCAGCCTGAGAATCTTAAAACTGGACAGGAATGAAATAGTCTTTATCTTTGGCAGCGCCATGAAAGGTCTGGAAAGTTTGGAAATGCTCGATCTCTCGAGCAACCAGCTTGAGGTTGTGCCAGCCGAATGTCTCCATAACCTGAAGCAGCTGCGTGAACTCAACCTACAGAATAACAAGATCCTGGCGCTGAACGACGACGGTTTCAGCAGTCTGGGCAGGCTGGTCCGCCTGTACCTCGACGGCAACCGCATCAGATATGTCTCCTCAAAGGCGTTCAATAAGTTGGACTCTATCCGCGAACTGACATTAAGAAACAACCTCATCACGGTTGTTCCTGGACAGGCTATCGGACTGGCCAAGACGTTAGAGATTTTGCGCCTCGCAGGAAACCCCCTCAACATGTCCGACCTGAGCTCCCTGAGAGCCGCTCCGACCATCCTCGAGCTGGACCTGGCAAATATCGGACGCCTATCCAAACGGGCACTGCTACCTCTGGAGAATCTAACTAACCTTAATATCAGGTACATGTACGTCCTCTCTGCGTAGATTTAAGTTTCATCTTTTGGTATAGAGTTTACTGTTTATATTTTGTACAGGCTAGGGAAGCCTTCTGATCTAGCAGGTCTTGAACATTAGTACTGCAAATCCATAGTCATTACATACGGTATTATCAGGCAAGTAGGCTTTATGCAAAAGCTGTAGTGAGTAATTCATGTCTAGTTTTGACAGCAGTCTGACCCAGGTTGTTTGAACCCACAGTAACTGCTCGCTGACCAGTGTGCCCATCCTGCGGCACCTGGTGACCATGCAGGTGCTGGACCTGTCCTGGAACAACATCACCGTCCTGCCACCTGAAGCCTTCAGCACTATGACTGAACTAACGCACCTGCGGCTCAGCAACCTCAACCTCAGCTCTGTAGAACCCAACGCCTTTGCAGGTGAGATACAGCTGAACCTCATACACCTGTTCTGTGCTAATATTAAAAAAAATTATTACTGTGCGATACTAAACACATTCTGTTTTAGAGTCAGATTTCTACATAATATCAATAATAAGCTTTCCATAACATGTCACAGCAGGAAACATCGTCAACAGACTGAAACCACTTAATTACAAAAACATGTACAATGTGCGTGAAGCCTATTTTCCTCATATGAGGATATTAAAAGTCAACCTGCGCTTGATATTGATAATTTTTCCTGCCTTCAGCAAGGCTTACTATGATTCCATTCCTGGTTTGTTGTCTGTTTAGTTTATATATACCTGCTAAGCACATCCTCTTTCTTTATTGATCTAGTCTAGAAGCCATAACCATGTTTTTCTTACTAACACACATTTCTGTAATTATAACCTCTTAAATTATTCATTCTCACAACACGGTGCTGCACTTTCATGCAACTATTGGTTCTGCATGTCAGAATGTAAGGGTCCTTAGGGATAGACAAGACAGGAAGTTTGTGGTCAGATTGTGAGTGTTTATACGTGCATGGACTTTGTTCGTAGTTCACCAACTTTCCTGCTTTCTCTGTAGAATATTCCTGTATGAATCTGTATATTTTGTCATGGCCGCCATGTGATTTTTCCCCCATGTCCATGATGTAAATCTTCCTACAACCCCTTGTGGCCCCACAAACAACATGATTCAACACTCGGCACCTTTCCAGCCGCTGAAATGCAGCAGTCTTATCTTCACATGTGACTGCCTACATGTACATCAAAGGCCCAAAAGTTATTGATTCATGGTTTCAGATTCTGTGCTCGTTCAAACTTCATTAATCATCTTTTTAATTCCACAAGACCTGACGGTAAGCAGACTTTAGAAGTACAGACCTTTGATTGTCGGGTCACCTGTCTGGTCAATAATGCTAATTCCCGGGAAATAGGGAGCACAAATTTGCCTCGCATGTTGATTTTCCACGGTGCAGGTAGTAACAACTTCCCCCTATTGATCGTTTGGAACCCAATTTGCTTTCACTTAGGCTGGGAGGCATGTCGTACATTTAGCTTAAGTGCAGAACCCCTACTTTCGCTGCTGATGGCGGCAGAGGAATGATTTCGCTTTGATCTACTGGCAGATAAAAGTCTTCCAATTTCCTTTCATACAAATTATTTGGCTTTAAGTCGACCCGGAGTCACTACCATCCATTTTACTTGGGCAACACTTTACAACACAGGGGGTCCCACAGATCAACAACAGTGCAGGGGAGATGGTATCATTCCTTGTAATCCTGCCAAGTCTTTTATAACGTGTGTACCCTTTTAACCTCAGTTGGAGGCTGTTCTTACTTGGGGCATTGGGATTTACAAAATGTTGTGATATAGAATATGGTCAGACTTTATCGCCACTGTTGGTGAACTGTTATTCTGTCTGATGTCTATAGATGTAGGCATTTTCAATAATGATTTATTCACAGCATTTAATGCAACCCAGTCAACACAAACAGCACTGATAATTGGAATACATGTGCTACACGGCTTCCCCTCCTTCTTTCCTACATGCATCTGTCAAAGTTAACTTTCACACCAAACACCCTTTTAAGACTCATCCCATACTTTGTTCTGAATGTTAATATCAACTACAATGATGACAAGCTGACAGTACCTATAACTTCTATTCCAGGGTTGATATCACTACAACACTTGTCCCTTGAAAACAACCAGCTGATGACCTTACCAAGGGACGTCTTCTTACCCCTCAAGAACCTGGAACTGCTGGACCTGTACAACAATCCCTGGTCATGTGACTGCCGACTACTCTGGCTAATACAGGTAAGAGCCCATCACAGCTTGTGTAGGATAACAATTTGCTGTACCAGTATCATTTTCCATCATCTTTTAAAGGATTGTGTAAAACTCTCCTAAACCTCTCTTTGTTGTCTTACAGTGGGCCCGGTTCAAGAAATTTTTCTTCCCCACTTTCCTGTACATGAAGTGCTCCACCCCGGCAAATTTCAAGGTGATGAAGTTGTCCCTCGCTGAAGTTGATATAAAAAATCTGTCCTGCATCTCTCCAAGGATAGTGAGCTCTTCCAACGACCTCTATCTTAGTGAGGGAGATCCAGCCTTCTTCAACTGTGAAGTGTCGGGGTTCCCCCTTCCTGACGTGGAATGGTTGGGTCCAGGAGGCAAGCCAATTAAACACACTGGGGATGGGAGGCGCTTCCCCTCAAAAGAAGGAACTCTGGAGATATTCAATGTGTCAAGGAAAGATGCAGGCCAGTATGTCTGCTGGGCAGGAAATGGAGGTGGGAATGCCACCCGATCTTTCAACCTCACAGTCACCGCGTCCACAAAACCTCGCTCATCTACCATGAGTAACACGGCATCAACATCTTCTGGTACGACAAGAGGGACTACCTCAACTGCAGAGGGCGCTACACAGGGCTTTGGGATCCTGGGGAACCGTGTCTCCATGGCCATTCTGATCGGCACAAACGCCGCTGCCTTCCTTGCTGGAATGCTTCTCGTCACCCTGATTGTGCTGATCTACCTGTTCTGGTGCAAGAAGAAGACCAAGAAGAAGCCAGTCGAGACTGCTGTGGACAAACCCAACAGGAGCAGTCGTCCAAATGACTACCAGCCAGACGCCAGTACCCAGACCACGCGGGTCCAGGAGGTACGGCCGCTGGGACAGCAGCCGGAGCAGCGCCCCCTGCCCGAGCAGCCCTCCGAGCCAAAGTGTCCGGAGCGTGTGTACGAAGCCATCCCAGAGGTCGACCTAGACTCTGACGGCTCCCAGTATCACACCCCTCTGAAGCATCCGTCAGAGTACCAGCCAGAAGTGGTCGCCATCAAGCCATATAGCAAAGACGACAGGCCTGAGCAGACCCTAAGTCCTGGTGTGGCTGAATCTGACACAACCAGCAACAGAAGATCCAACACCTTTCCTGACTTCCAAGACATCCACTCACCCCAGGCAGCGGCCACGCCGACTCCCTTAGAGGGCCCAGCCAAGTCTGTCTCCTTCAGCACCAAGCCTGAGGGTGGAGGCACCTTCTCTGATGCTAAGCCTCTGCCAGATGTGACGGCAGACACTCCTGCACCTGCACGGGGCCACCCTAACCTGAAGAAGTCCACCAGCCGCCCGTTATGTGTGGAACAGTCCAAGGCACCACACGTTGGGTCCAGCTCTGTTCCAAATATCCACAGTGGGAAGCAGCTGGTGGCATTCCTGGACGGGTCCACACCTGGAGGGCTGTCCAGCACCAAGGACAGCGGTCACCACAACCATCACAACAACAAGTCTGCTCCAGGTATATACCAGCCCCTCATTAGTCAGAACTCTGATCTGGGGCCCGCTACAAACGGCACGGCCCGACCTGCAAACCAGGATCCCTCCTCTGGCCCATTGACCTCCAACCCTTACAGGCCGACGGAACAGGCACCAACTCGCGGCAAGTCAAACCAGACATACAACCCTCCTGAACCTGTGCCAAACACGGAGAATGACAACAGCGAAGACTACAGTATGGAAAACATAAAAGAGCCAAAATACTATGAGTTGGAAGGGCCTGACTCTCCATATGACTTTGAGGATGGGGGCACTGAAGGTAATGGAAAGGGGAAGGAAGTGTACTTAGAGTCCAATCCACCAGCCTTGGAACAGGTGGGGTCAACAGTAGTGTAACTAGATCTGTATTGATGAAACCACAACAGTACAGTAAGAATTGTAAATCAAGAACAGACAGCTTTCTCTGGTAAGACAGATTAGACCATGCATATCAACTTTAATGATCCACTCAACTTCTACCAAACAATTGATGTGCCATTGTAATCTACTTGGCACTACATGTATATGGTACATTTTGTATCACATGAGGACCTACAGAACTCAGATTGAAGCGTTATCTTGCATGTACAATGTGAGACTGACACTTTGATCAGATTGATAGGATTTGAATATATCTCTACATGTTGTATGGGAATTCCTGTGCAGTGGGTGTGTAGTTCCTACTGTGAGGATCTCAGTATAGCAGGTCCTGTGCCAAAACAAAAAGTCTTATATTTGCTGGAACTTGGTGATAATGTTGTACAAAAGTCACACTATGGGAGAAAACAATGGAACATTTTCATGCGGCTAATGAATCTGGTCGTTTTGTTGTAAATGTTTTTCTGTTTGGCGCTTGTTTAAAGCAATGTCTTTGTTGCTTGTTGTATATTGATTGTGTTCATGAGAAATGATTCTTGCTGTGAAAAAAGATATCAGTAGAAATAATTACAGTCGATGATAGCACCAAATGGTATCAAACATATTCATAATGACTTAGTCTTGGTACAACAAACATCACATCGAACTGCCCTCTTGGCAACCAAGGCAACTGAACAGTCATCTTGGTAACCATGGAGATTCAGCAGCCATCTTGGTAACTACGGAGACTGGGCCAAGCTCTCAGCATTCTTGTGCATGAATGTGTATGTATCAAGTCAGTCCAAAAATGTGAGGAGTCAAAACTGTTCCAAATGGGCATGTGGTGAAGTTTAAGACTGTAAGTAATCATATGTGTTTACCAATACTTGAATAGCAAAGGAGTATAGGAGGTGTATCATTGGTCTTAGCATTGGTCACTTGTGGGAATGAAGATGGTGCCTAAAAACAAGGGTTTGATCTACGTTTCTAAGCAAAGTGTGTTGCAGAACTTCCAGTATGTAGAATTTCCAGTAGTGTTCAATTTCTGTAAATAACATGCCTAAAAACAGAGAAACAACAAAACTTGTTAAGGATAGAAAATGCCAGACATAGAAGTCAGCCATAGGAGATAGCCACGTGATTATGGCAATACTTGATCTACCGTGTACCATAACTAATGTTATCATGTTGCCAAGATATATCTGTGACATCAAGGCAATCTATCATTGACATTATCACAAACAGCATGAACAATTTTAGACAGCCTTGTAGATACACAGAATCACAAAGGTTACAATACTTAAGGCAGACCTCTCACACTGGCAATGCTAACTTGTCCACACTGTAATGCCTGTACTGTCAAGCCTTCCCAACACTTCTCTATGTAAATACATATAAGCAAGGAGCTTACTGGTTGTGATGATGCAGTTCTGTAAATAAATGTTGTGACTGTTTAAGGCTGACTACTGAAATTTATTGCTTGTAAGTTTCTGACTCTGCTACACACTCACAGTTACCAATACAAAAGAAAGACATAGGGGGGCACCTAGCAGCCTGTATGAAAATTGCATCAGTAGCTAACAGAAGACCAAGAACCATTCAGTATGTACAATATGTCTGGACTCTGGTGAATCAGATACATATACAATGCAATAATAGACAATACCACAACAATACACCAACATGTTATCAGGGCAAACAAAGATCTATACAAAAACTGTAGATTGCCTATTTCTAACAGGGCTCCAAATTAACTTTTTGACCTAGGAGCACTGTGCTCCTAACCATAAAAAGTTAGGAGCACAGGCTAAAATCTAGGCGCACCAACAAAAAATATTGTATTGCAAAGGTGTTAATATATTAAAAACTAAGCTAGATCATATTTCCTCACTTTAAAAAAAAAATTCTATCAGCATCCTTAATTTTGAAAAAATTGGGCATAGGTTCCCCGGATGACCCCTAACCGGGGGCCAACGGTGCTTCCACAAGTTCAACAAGTGAAAAATACATGATACAAAATGTACATGTATTTACTACCTGGAACTTGGAGCAATTATTCCCAAAGGTGTACCTGACATTGATATATTAAAACCTAAACCAAATCCTATTTCCCAAACAAATCACATATTGACACAGCTGAACAAATAAAAATGTGATCATGTCTATAAACTCCA